TCCCCTTTCCCCCCCAGGCTCTTGAGCCAGGTATTCTGGTCTCCTCCAGCACCACACAAGGTTGGAGTCATAGCCCACAGCAAAGCACTACAGATGCTAGGTTCAGTCATATCAGATCTAGAAGGCTCAAAGGACTTGACACAGCACCCAATAGGACCAGAACTCCAGATAAATCCATTTTACTCTGTATAAAGTTTTGTACAGAACAAGCTCATAAAAGACTCACCCCCTTTCATCACATATGTACAGTCTCCTCCCTCCCCCAGTAACAGTTATTTATACTGGGTTTATTAATAAATAAAAGTGATTTTATTAAGTATAAGAAGTAGGATTTAAGTGGTTGCAATTAAGAGCAGTCAGATCAAAGAAAAACAGTAAGCAAATTAAAACAAAATATGCCAGCTAAGCCTAATATTCTAAGGAACTAGTCACATGCAATTTAATACTCTAACAGTAGTTCTAATCATCTTTATATATCTTTTGCCAAAGACAGGAACTCTTTGTATTCAGTTTAAACTTTTTCATACTTTCAACAGAAAAGTACAGCATTCAAAATGGGTCCCAGCATCAAGTGTCCCCAGGCCACATGTCTTGGCAGGACCAACCACAGTCCAGGCTTACAGAAAAACAAGACTATTCACAGATCAATGTCTCAAGTACTGCGCCATTAAGTTCCTTGAATACCACTAATTGCCCTCAACTATCATATCTGAATTAGTAAACAGTTTTATACTTCATATTTATAATGTCAACTATAGGAATGGTACAAGCACACAAACAAAATGTACACATTCAGCAGATTTTAAACTTTACATTATAAGATGTATTTTGTATAAAGCATTTTCCAGTTATACATTTTCATATTCATGAGCATATTTTCATAAAGAATATGGTGAGGTGCAACCCAGAACCTCCTTTCATTGTTCTTTTCTATTTGAATGACAGTATCAAAATAAGAAGAGATTAGAACATATTGTGTTGGATCAGGCAATTTGGTAAAGAGACATTGAACTGTCCATCTCTGCTGGGTAAGTTTCTGGGTTTGAATCTGAGTCAAGATGACAGTGACTACAAATTACCATCTTAGGGCCTGATTCTTCACCTTTGAAGTCAACGTGGGTTTTGCTGTTGACTCAAACGGGACCAGGTCCTGTCAGTGGTCAATGTGAAGTCTGTTGGGTATACACATTTAAGAGCCAAACTTTAGGCACCAAAGTCTGAAAATGTTGGCGTCTACATATCAATTTGTATTGAGAAAGAAGCAGGATTCCTTCCCTTCACCACTGAAATATGATCATGCCAGAAAAGAAAAACACCAGCCAATATCAAACTCAAGTTAGCACCTTCAAACTGATGGCACTACAAAATACAGAATCAAGAAACCAAGGTTTTCTTTGGGCACAGGGGCGGCCCGTGCCCATAGGCAAACAAGGCAGCTGCCTAGGGCGCCAAGTTGCATGGGGCGCCAAATTCTAAACCTTGCCCCTTCCATTTCCCATTCCCTTTCCGGTGCCTTACCTGGAGCACGGCTTCCCTGCAGCCAGGAGAGGGGTAAGTCCTGGGAGAGGCAGCACGCGGGGGGAACCGGGGGAGGAGGAACGCGGAGGGAGGGGGGTTTCCCCT